GGATCAGCTGAACGAGAATTGAATGAAAACGAAGTCATAATGAAAGAGAAGTAACCATGACTGACACGATGAAGTAGCTGCAATGAAGTATCCACAGGATGCAATTATCCTATAATATTAGGTTTAATGGACAACGTGTGGGCTTCTTCAATGCGCCTTCCAACCGTCCAACACGATTTCATTCAAGATACTTTGAGGCAGCCACGATAATAAGCCTTCCGATTAATTTGAAATTAGATACACGTTTATTTCTCCGCCAATCTTTCTCATCTAAATTCTGCGCAATTATAAAATTTTCCAAGGAACTGAAACATTTATACTATTACGATAAATTATTACGTTATTGCGATTGCTGAAATATTTTTTCAAATTCTACAAATTGGATATAATTTTGGATACATTATAAGAATCAATTTCGAATTTAAAATGTATTATTTTTCTTAAAAATATTTCTACAATTTTATTGCTGAAAAAAATATTTTAAATCACAAATTGAACGAATTGGATATAATTGTCTGATATCACGGGAATCAATTTCCTTCGCGTAGAAACGCGTAGAAAGATGATAAATCGCAACAAAACGCTTCTCGGAGAAACATCTCTTTCTACGTCAAATAAGAAGAATAAAATTTCGAAATGGGAAGAATTTTGAGCAACGTTTCGAAGAATTTCACGCGAGTAAGGATGAATTTCAATCGAATCGCGAATATATATATATATACAGAGAAAGATAAATCGAATCAGAAAAATGCAAAGGGATCCAAAGAGGAGAATTGAGAGAATCCTTAGATTACTCCTCCGCCACGGTGGAATTCAATCTACGAAACGTTCAAGTTTTATCGAGAAAAGGTGTCGTGGACGGACGGAAAGGAAGGACGAAGCCGGTTTTTTTACTCGACTTAGCTCGCTCGAGTAACGACAACTTAAGCAGCGTGTCGAACAAAATCGATAATCGTCGACCATCGTGGTATCGCGTCGGTCACCGTGCACGCGTGATGTACACGTGTGTACACGTGTGCGATTGTGTCGAAACGCGTGTCGGCGAAATCCGCTCTCGGCCCGAATTTATCGCGGCCGTAAAAAGCCCGTCGTCCTCGTCGTGAATCCG